AAGCTTAACCCATCTTACACAGGTAGAGACGGCATCACCAAAGCTGGCTCAGGAGTCTTCACAGGGAGGCTCAGCGCAGACGTGAGGGAAGAGAAAGTAGTGTCTCTGCAGGGCACCTGTTCTCGAGGGAGGTGTTGCTGTTGCTGATAAAGAGTGAGGAGGGGGAGAGGAAGGAGTTGGCTGTTGTTGGGCCTCTCAGGAAGAAGAGACTAGAGGTCCCATCCAGTGAGAGGTGAGTTCTCAGCCAGAGCTAGTCCTTTAAACTGCTCCTTCATGCAGAGCTAACACAGAAGTGCTCAAACTGCAAGGAGCAAACGACAGGGCTGTGACAAGACAAGGTCAGCCCAACACTGTCCCACCTCTCCACCATACAAAGCCCCACCATATCACACCCTCCTGTCTTGAGAAATGAAGAGGAAGATGCAGGACGCTTAGTTCTGTAGATCAAAGGGAAAGCACAAGGAAGAGGAGCACTGTGGGGAGTGAAGGAATGGCTCCTTCTGCTGTCTAAGTATCCTCCTTTAGCTTCCCTGAGAAGGAGAGTCCCAGCTCGCCTGCCACATGGAGGGACATCAGATGGCAGGAGTACATGATCAAGAATAAAGGCAGAAGAAATAGAAAAGGCAGCCAGTCAGAGACACAGGTGATGATCTGAGAGGAATTTAAAGAACCTGGAGAAGGATAAAGCCATCAGACAGGGTCCAGAGGCTTTAGAAGAGACAGTTTTAAAGGAAAGTGAAGCCAAGGAACTACCTACATATCCAGACTTTAGCAAGTACGAAGAAGCTGTAGAAGCCTCAGTGTGCTGTACTGGGAAGTCAGGCCAGAATACCAGTGTCCTCTGGGTGGTGGCCAGGGACGAATTACCCAATAAGCAAGGTATGCACGGGCTCAATTGTGCTTACTTACTAATCTGTAGTGCACAATTTCACCTGGTTTTCACCACATAACCAGGTGAAATTGTGCACTACAGATTAGTAAGTAAGTACAATTGAGCCCGTGCGCACCTTTCTTACTATAAGCTGGTGCATACCGTGCTTACTGGTTACTCTGGCCCTGGCTGTGGCAGCGTACTTGCCCACAGGCAAAGGCCCAGGTCCCCTTTCCTCATACAGAGCTCAGGCCAATTTGGCCACAGCACGAAGGAGAGACAGTCAGAAATGCACTCCACAATGCCAGCTTCTTAGAGTCCCTGCAGCCCACAGGGAGCAGGCTCCACAAGGCAGCAGCTGACTTGCTTCTTTGAATTAGGGAAAGGAGGATGGCGGTAGGCAGCAGATATTCTTGTCCTACTGGCCAGAGAGCCCGAGGTCCACAGATGCAGTGTGACAAGGGAGCCACAGCCATCAAGGACCCTCCTGTTCATTGGCAAGCTGCCTGCCTCCCACAGCCAGCTCGCAAAGCATTCAGACTTTCTAGTAACTATTTACTCACCCACCCTGCGGAACATAGTCATTCATGCCAAGTGAATGTACAGACAGGGATTTCACTGACTGAATATACTCTCCAAACAAATGTTAAGACAAAGCAATGCACTGGTTCTGGTGATTTTTATACACACAAAACGGCACTAACTTCCCAAGGACAACAGATAGTGCTTCCCTGAAGGAGGTAAAAAAGGTATCTATCTGAAACCTTTATAGGCACAAGCCTGAGGAGGCCTTCAAAAGTTCTAAAGCAGAAGAAAATGTGGCCAGCTTTAGAATCAGGAGACTCAAATTCACTGAAGCAACCAGTCCCTTAGCACCTGATCTGTGAGGACAGTGAGCTCACAGGCACCATGGGAGGGTGACGGGTGGGGGAGGGTGATGACTCATGGGTGCAGAGATTAGATCATCCCCTGGCCTCAAGGATATCAGTGGGTAAAAGGTAAGGTAAGACCAGTATCCTCAAAGCCCAATGTAGTATCACTTGAAAGTACAAAATGATACAGGCATTGAAAGAAGAAAGGGGTCACATCTGGTGCAGAGAAATCAGGGGCATGTCATTCTTGGTAGGTCTGCAAGGTGGGGGATAATTGACAAAGCCCAACGTGCCTATTTATTTTATGACCTTGTTTCAAGGTCAAATCACAAGTGAGATTCTGTTTCATCTGCCAAATTGAGATGGATGTCTCCTTCCCATTTCCAGCTCCTTGGAAAAGGAGGTCTCAGTAAATGCCACCTACTATTATTATCCTCAGGAGGAATGCCCAGAACAGAGCTGGTGATCCCCCACCCCCAGCTCTGAGCTGGAGCCCAAGCATGCAGGGTGGGCAGGCTGTGGCCCAGTGCCAGCCTCAGCCAGTCCCAATAGCTCTGGTGGGAATCTGTTTAATTGGATGGCACTCAATTTGAGTGGACCCAGAGAACATCAGTCATACATCTATCAGACCAGTATGCTGCAGGGCCCTGCATCTGGCATAAACAGGGGGTGCCAAGGAATATTTGAAGGTGTAACAGAATTAGACGAGAGAGGGAGGTACCCTCTCAAAGTCCTAATTTTCTTTCAAGGCCCAGCCCGGTCTGACCTCCCTCTTTCAAGCCTTCTCAAATTCCAGCAGTCAGATGGCATCACTGCCATCCCATACCTGGACTGACTATGGCTTCAGTAACGCTCTAGCTGACTGCCTTGGGTTACAGTTGTTTATATACATGCTGGTTTCCCACCTTAGCCCTAGACCCACTTTGCAGCACCCAGCAGAGTACCCTGCACACAGCAAGAGCCCAGTAAATGTTGCCTGGTTAAATATTACAACTTCCCCTGACAACCAGGAGATCTTCCTGAAATCGTCTTGTGACCAGAGTCCTCTGAAGTTCTGAATAAGATATTTGGAACTAGGCAGTAGCTCCAGCCCAGGTAGCAGGGATAGATTTCCTGAGGGGATGTGAGAACTGCAAAGGACCACAGTCCAGCACCACAAGGGACAATTCGAGGGTCCTTTCCTCAGGCAGGAGCCCTGGTGGAGCAGTGGTTAAGGCACTTGGCTGCGAACTGAAAAGATCAGTTGTTCAAATGCCCTCTCCACTCTGTGGGAGAAAGATGTGACAGTCTGCTTCCATAAAGATTTACAGCCTTGGAAACCCTATGGGGGCAGTTCTACTCTGTCCTATAGGGTCACTGAGTGCGAATCGACTCGGCAGCAGTGGGTTTTTTGTTTTTTTTCCTCAGGGAGTACCAAGACATCTTGGAAGCCCAGAGGTGGTTTTAGTTTCCTCCAGCCACTGGGCCCCAGGTCAGCCTTCCTTACCCAGCATTGCAGCCCCTTCCTCCCTTATAACCTGCCCTACCCCCAGACCCAGCAGGATGGCCTGAAGGACTCGAGAGGTAAAGAAAACTGTTGGGTAGGGTCTGGCCCTTTATTCTGGGGCATATTTAAAAGGAGGATGTAAAAAGCACTCATAAAACATGCCGATGACTGCATTTGGAAAGGTTCTGTGATGGAAATCTAAGCGCAGAACTGAAAGAAAACCTCACCTGTGACAACAAAGAGATTCAGTCTGACTCAGTGGCTTGGAAACTGGTATCCAAAAACACCACAGCCAGTGGGCCAGGAAACTTCTACACCTACCACCAACCAGGCTGTGGGGCCCTCCATTATCTTCCTCCGACCTACTCTGGGGGTTGGGGGTATAAAACCAACCCAGGAAAGAGATTCTCCTTTACCCTCACATCCCCCTTCAAGCTAACTGAATACTCACTTCCAACAAGCAAAAGGGACTCATCTATACTGACACAAAACAAAGCACCTTCCTGAACCTCCTGAGTGTCTGCGGATGAGTCTGCTTCCCCTGCCAAGTTTACGTTACGCCATCTGAGCTTACATCTCTGCTCTTTGATCACTGTCCCTCCATGGCACCTCACTCCACCCACACGGCTTTCTATTTGTTTCTTTCTTTACAAAATAAACGCCCCTGAAACTGTTCTAAGGAATGTCTAGCCAGAGTTGCCCCAAGGTGCAGACCCGTGATACACCAAAAGAGCAAGGCTTTGGTGTTAAGGAGACACAAGTTGCCTACTCAGCCTAAGCCTGTTTCTTCACGTGTGCAGCGGGGCAGGAATTTCCACCTCAGAGCTATGGTCACAAGGTAACACTTGTAAGGTGCTTGGCACACAGTGGGTATTCAGTTAATGCCTGCTGAATGGACCCACTGCACCACCATTCGTCTTCACAGGAGCCAGCCACGCTACACAATCTCCCAACTAAACACCACCCTCTCCCACATTTAATAATAACCTAGGAACTCTCCCAGCAAATCCAACTGTAGTTCACTGTACCAGAGGGAGCTTAAGTTGCTCTACAGCCTGAGAGGGGTGTGGAAAAGTAGCATGAAGTGGTAGAAAGAACACTGGGATAAGAATCCAAACGTGTTACTGAATCCACAGGTAGCTTTTTTGGGTCCGTATACATTTTGGACCTATCAGACAGGATAATCTCTAACTAGATTCTGGTAATAGCAGTAATATCATCCCTGCTGGGGGCACATCTCTTCAACTCTAAGTAGTTTGAACCATTAACTCTGAATCAGTTGGTCTAGTGTTAATCTAAAGAAGAAAGCAGCACTTGACACAGCCATTTCCCTAACAGACCAGCCTTTCCCATAAGCTGCCCCTCACAGCAATGTTTTTACTGCCCAAGGCATAGCTGGGAAGGGAAGCTCTGGTCTGAACTAACTGCATAAATCATTTCCTCCTTTGCCACCGTGAATGGGAGAGTTCACAACAGCCAGGATGGCTAATTAACAACAATGGCTAACATTTGTTGAACACTTACTGTGTCCCAGGCACTAGGAATACCTTGTGCTCATCATCTCATCATGTTGAATCTTTACCACAACCCCATGAGGTACAGACTATTGTTGTCCCCACTCTACAGAGGAGGAAACTGACGCTTACTGGCATCAGGGGACTTGCCTGAGGTCACAAAGTCCTTACAAGTGGCACAGGATTCTTGCTGCCTTCAGCCCAAGCAAAAGCCACCATCCTCTAAAGAGTCAGAGGGGACTCAGAACTTAACTCACCTGATAGGAAAGGCCATCCTTTCGGGGGCTGAGTCCAATCTCCTCCATGGATGGGGCATTCATCATCACCTCAGTCATCTCGGCCGATCTCAGATAGTCAGGGCTGCCAAGAAACCCAGACCAAATGTCAACAAAGACACACACTTTCACGTTCCCACTCTCAGTACATCCGTTGTTAGATCAGGGGACTGTCTGGGACAGGATGAGAAGTGTTCAAAACAGAACTTGCAGAAAAACAAGCCCATAACCTGAAAAAGCGCCTCATAAGCTCACAGCATCAGAGTTTTCAATCTCAAATAACAAAGCTTATTGTCTGAAAACCTCTCTGGCAAACCTCCTCTCATATACACCCACCAGAGGAGAACCCATTGCTTCTGTTTCTAGAAGCACAGAAGCAATGCTGGATTTTCTTTATAAATGACAGAACCAGAAAAAACAAAAGTAACTGAGTCCATCTGTCTAAATTAAAACCAGTTCAACCAAGTCTCCCTTTATCCGTCCAGGGTGAAGGATTATACATACATATATATATATCCTCACATGAATTTCATCCAAAGACAAACTGCATATTATTATATAATAACATGCATATTATTATTATTATATAATAGCAGCAACAGGTCAACCTCAGGCAACCAAGTCCAAGCGCACTGTCCTCCTACATTTCTCCATCTCTCTGGTGCTCTTCTTTGCAAAAACGTCCCACTTAAAGTCCCAAAGGTTCACCTTCTCTGCAGGCTTCACATCGGCCATCCAACCCGCTTCTCCACCTCCAGCCGCAGCAACTGCAAGCTCACAGCTTGAGAAACATCTCCTGGATTAAAAGCCTTAAGGATACTGGGACTCTGACTGCAAAAGAAACTTCCAGAGGGGCCAAGCTGCCCACCAATGGCTGACATGTGAAAGTGCTCTGTATTCTATAAGCAGGATATAAACATTCCATTACCCTCTCACATCCTTACACAAGCCAGGAGCACAGACAAGGTCCTGTACACATAATACCAAACAGTACATACCAAAATCCACATACCCTCTACACAACACCTAGTATTTTCACCACCATACCTTTACACATGAAGGAAAAAAAGGAGGGCCACGCTTTAGAGAGAAACAGGGGTACCAGATTCCTTCTCTTTTATGGTTACTACACAGAGTAGAAATGGCACTGGACTGGAAACGGAAGCAATGCGTTCTAGCTAGGCTCTGCCACTAACAACTGTGTGATCTTGAACAAGTCATAGAACCTCTCTGAGCCACAGGTGTGCTGTTCGTCTGTTACTATGATGCTGATAATGCCTATCTCACCGTTATGTACAATAGTTAATATGGGGGGGGGTTACTAACTATGAAGTGTTAATCGACTATAAAACAATCCTAAACCTTAATTTCTCAGAGGATGATAACCCTGATGGGCGCTAACATCTGTCTACCTTGGCAAGCTCTGAGCGGCCAGGGGCATAGACGCCTCCAGGGGCGGAGAAATTTTACTTTGTTCCGAGAATTCAGTTCCCTCTTCAAACGGGGCCAGTTGGGAAGGGGGAGGGGGAGGTGAAAGGCAGGTGCTGGGCTGCGGGGCAAGCTTAGGTTCAAGAGCGGGGACCACAAAACGGAGTTTCTTCCCAGGTCATGGAAAAACTACCGCCAGCTGCCGAAGAAACGGGCCAGAAGAGCCGCCACGGGGCTCTCGCCAGGCTCCTCGCCGGGTGTAGAGGCGCTCTCTCCTCGCCTGGGGCTGTGGCGCGGGCCGGAAAAGTTGAGGCGAGAAGCATGAACTTTCCGGTTGCTGGCCTGAGCAGGATCGCGCGGAGGCTAGAGCTTGCTTCCCCCTCCCTTGACGCCTGCCCCTCGGGCCTGAGCTGAGTCGTCCACTCCCTCACCTGGGAGCGCGCTCAGGGGCAGCCAGCGCTCGCCTCTCGGCCGCTCCTTTTTGTCCCGGGGGCAGGGGCCTAGCTCCGCGTCTAGAGCGGCGCCTGCGGCGCATCGCTCCCGGCCCAGATCCCCTCGTCGGGTACAAACCTTCGCAGTCCCCTGCCTGGCCCGGGATCCTTCCAGCCCGGAACTGCGAGGGCGAATCCTCTTGGCCCCCTGCAAAGACGCCTCGATTTTTTTTTAAGGCTATGGAGACGGAAAGGGTCGAAAGAGTGCAGCGTGTACCCTGCCGCTAGTGGCTTTTACGTGTGAGATCGCTTCTTTCCCCGCCCCCTGGAGCTCTGCAAACGGCGCCGCTGCACCAGCTCCGCCAGCCTGGACGTCGAGATTTGCAAGCAAACAAAAAGAAAAAGGGGAGGGGCCGACGGAGAGCTGGGGCCCCCAGCGCAGGCAGGGCGCGCGCCTCTGGCAGCCCACCGCATTACGGGATTTATAAGGGGCGGGGGGCTATAGGCGTGATCTCTGGTTCTCGATCCACCCTCCCACCCCACATTCACACCCTCCGGCCATCACGTAGGTGAGGGCTCTAAGTTCACTTCCTTTGTCTGGATGCTCTCAGCACCACCTTCCCCCACCCCCACCTTTGCAACCTTGACGATGACTCCAGCACCGGATCGCGCGGCGGGTTAGCGTTGGGCGTCGGCGCCGCCTGCTGCGCTCGCACCCTTAGCCGGCACGAGTAGGCGCCCGCCTGGGTGGGCAGCCACTGCCGCGAGACCGACGCCCGCCGAGGGCGCAGGATACTCACCAGTGAATGGGGAAATATACAGACATGAAGTCCTAGGGGAGGCTGACCCACGCCCTTGTGATTTAAAAACGGTCACCGCGTCCCAAGCAAGGATGACACGGGCGCAGACAGACGCACGGCAGGCAGGGAGGCAGGCAGGCAGCCGAATGCGGGAACTGGGCTTCGCCGGGTCCGCCTTCCCGAAACAACCCCACAGCCAGCGGCGTCTGCAGAGCAGACAGAGGTCTACACTCTCCACCGAGCTCCCGGCCCCACAAAGAGCCGGGGAAGCTGTATTTATTGGGGAGGAGGCGGGGCTTGGCCCTGGGCAGCCCCGCCTTTCCTCGCCCACTCCTGGAATAACGTCACCAAAATCATGAATGGCTTCAGCGCTCGCAGCCTGTGCGGGCGGCTGCTAGGGGGCGCGCTCAGCTCTCCTTCTCGAAGGGCCGTTGTTTGCTGCAGCTCCTCGCCCGCCCCCTTCCCCACGACTCTCACACACGCAGACACGCACGTGTACACACGCACGCACCGGAGCTGGAGTTCAATGTCAACGCCGCTGCCAGCTTACAAACACGCCCGCGTCCGCACACCTCCTCCCTGCGCACGCCCCTGGGGACTCCGGGGCGGAGGAGGTGGGCGTTAAGAGGACGCTGGGACCCGCTCTGGACTTGACCGCTCGGCAGCTCGAGCTCGGTCCAGGGAGGGCGCCATTCCTCGACCCAGGCCCGCTAGCGTCATCGTACCGCGCTACTCAGCCCCACACCTCGGGACCACTCTTCAGCACTCATCCCCCAAACTAGGCCTCTCCCTGGAACCATCGCTCGCGTCACCGCGGGCAAGCTGCGCGGACGCGAGAGCACCGCTAGAAAAGAAGCCGTGAGAAGGTGGGAGGAGACGCGAAGCCGGGGGACCCAGCGCCCGCGGGAGTCGACGTGGCTTGCGAGGGGCTAGTCTGCAGCCATGAGATCATCCTTGGAGGGCTTTGTGAGAGAAAGGATGTAGTGTCGTCCTAGGGTTTTTCCACTGGACACATACATGGAGCGGCGTGAGGGCGTGCGGGTGGGCAGCGTGCAAGCACACCCCACCAGCCTTGGCTCTCAGATCTGTCCCAAGGAGTCGATCTATGACAGAAGAAACAAGGAGCTGGCAGTTCAGCTGAACCCTTCCCACACTGCCCAGGAATTGCAGCTCCGGGAGTCTGTCCCTGCAGTCAGGCTGCGCAGCCCCCAGAGCCTGGAACGGAGCCTGACTCGGTACCCAGCACTGCCCCTCTGTGGCTGGAGCGCGTCGCTTCACACCTCTGCTTCAATTTCTCCTGTAAAATGACTTTCTAACGCTCACCTGTGTGTGTATAGGGGCTGGGGAGAGGAGAGGACTATCAAAAACTAAACAAAATTAATCTGCTCTAAAGTCAGTCGGTTCTTTGGAAGAAAGGCAATAAATGTATTAGATCGATGAATATGTGCTTACAAATGGAAATCCATAAAAGGATAATGAGATTAATGGTGAGGGTTTATAGTGGCAGGACCATGAGGGGGCTGACCCTTAAAACTCATAATTTTCCTCCCTAAACCAACTCAAATAAAAATGATCTATAAGAATTTATAAGAATAATTAAACTTAAAGTAACTGTTATTTTTAACCATTCATATATACACCTGAGTAAGAACTGTGTGCACCTTATGAAATGCAGCTTCAGGACAAGTCCCCTAGCTGCCCCTTCCAACCAGATTAGCACTCCTAAGCTCTTTCTGTAGACAAATTCTGGATCATCTCCCCAGCCCCCACACGATAAACCAGAAATTGATTTGTGCCGCATAGCCCCAACTCTGTTCTGTTCCTCTGGCTGTGGTGTTCTGGCAGAGGGCAATACTTCATTGAGAGAAGCTAATGGGAGATGCTCTGAGTGTGGGGTCACTGTTAACAGTGGGGGCTGTTTGTATCTTCTGCATGGGGTGGGGAAACTTTTCAGTTAGCAGCTAAGAATGACATGTTGCCATCCACGTAGCCAAAGAGGAAGCCAAGGCTGGGAGATCAGGTTTACAGGCTGGGATCTTAGAGCTAAGGCCCTGGGTGAGCAAGGCCATTTCTCCCCAGAGCAACAATCCCTGGCAAGGGGGAGGATGGAAGACCATCTTAAGTTTTGCATTCCAACACCCACACTTTACATATTTGTGATTATTGCCTTCAGTAACTTTCAACACTCTCAGAAAGGTAACTCCACAACTTTCCTGCTCCTAACATACGCACCTGAATTGTCAAGATGCTCTCTTTTGGAGGAGTAAAGCTTCCACCAGCAGGTATCTGGTCTCTGGGAAAAAATCCCTAGATTGTGGAACATTGAGGTAATTACCTAATGTCTACTCTTTGGTGGAGTGATAAAAGTCTGACCTTCTATGCGGGAGACCCAGGTTTGATTCCCTGCCAATGCATGAGGCCACCACGAGCCACAAAACTAACTGACAATAGCTTTGGTAGGCTTTTTAGTAATGTCCATTGTAACTTGACATCACCTCTGCTGGTAAATTGGACTGGAAAGTAAGTCTCTCCTCTGGGACTACGGTGATACATCCATTCATTTGAAAATAGGAAGAGATGTATTTGATACAACTGTAACAAGCAAATTATCTGTATGCCATTTCTCAATAATAATACTTTACGTTTATATAGCGTCTTGCAGATTTTCAAAGCATTTTTACAACTAACAGTCCCCAGTTTATAGATATGCAAACTGAGTCTGAAATAAATTAGGGAACTTGCCACAGATCACACAGCTAGTAAGTGGTTGGAACTCAAGAGCTTGGAAACACACTCACCTTTCCACTCTGTAGCAGAATGTTCCACCCTGCTGCATTGCTCTGGGTCACTGCGTTTTTTTCCTTTCTCTAGAGACACGGGGTATTTCAACATGGAGACTGACCATTTCTTACCAATGCCCTCCAAGAGTGGTTTCTATCCCTGCTGCCTTTGAATAAATGAAATGGAAACACAAGCGAATGACGTTACTTAGAGCCCCAGAACCTTAAGAGCTGAAAGGGACCGTCTAAATCACCTAGTCCAGTCTCCTCATTTTACAGATGAGAAAGCTCTTAAGAGATTAAGTGGCAAGTCCAGGGCTGCCAGACTATTAAGTGGTGTCGATGGAACTTGAACACAGGCCTTTAGTCACTGGTTAAATGTTCTTTCCACCCCAACACTATGCCTTGCACCACATTTGCCAAGAAGTCAGCAGCAAAGGTCAAACACAAGACCTGTACTCTCTAAGCAGCCTCTGTCCATCACCACTTTGTTGAGCATCTGCCATATGCAGGGCAGTGAACACCCAGCAGGGCCTCCTGTATGCCCTCCCTCCTCTCTCCTGTGTCCCCAGAAATTAAGGTGCTGAATTACAATTTTGCTTTGGTAAAAATCCTGGGATCTAATGGTGTAATTAGAATTGTCTTCCTTTCCAACAGTAGATATGTCTAATTTCCCAGCTCCTTCTCTCTCCCACCTAAAATAATTTTTTTTTTTTAAAAGAGGTAATGAATTTAAGGTCCTGTTCGAGTTCACAAGCATGGTCACGCATGCTATGGTGCAAGGAATATGTATCTAATTATTCATCTAGTAAAAGAAAGTCTCCATCTAAATTCATTTAGTGGTCCCAGACAGAGCTGGAGAAAAATGTAGAACAAAGTTCTAACTCACAAAAAAAGACCACACTTACTGGCCTGACAGAGACTGGAGAAACCCCGAGAGTATGGCCCCCGGACACCCTTTTAGCTCAGTAATGAAGTCATTCCTGAGATTCACCCTTCAGCCAAAGATTAGACAGCCCCATAAACAAAATGAGACTAATGGGACACAACAGTCCAGAAGGCAGGAGGGGACAGGAAAGCTGGTAATAAGGAAACCAAGGTTGAGAAGGGATAGTGTTGACATGTCGTGGGGTTGTTAATCATTGTCATAAAACAATATGAGTACTAACTGTTTAATGGGAAACACTTTGTTCTGTAAACCTTCATCTAAAGTACAATCAAAAATTAAAAATGAATTCATTTAGCAACATATTCCCAACATTCTATCTCCCCTTTCACTTGTTAAAAAAAAAAAAAAAAAGTATTGCATTTAACCTGCCTGGGTTGCAGTGAAGCTGGTACTTTGGTTAGCTATTAAAAAAAAAAAAAACAGTTGTCATTGAGTCGATTTCAACTCACAGTGACCCCATATGTGCAGAGCAGAACTGCTCCATAGGGTTTTTGTGGCTGTGGCCTTTCAGAAGCAGATCACCAGGCCTTTCTTCTGCAGTGTCTCTGGGTGGGTTCAAATCGCCAACCTTTCAGTTAGTAGTGGAAGACTTGTTGGTTAGCAATAAGGGACTCCAATGAAGTAGCTATTTGACCTCAGGGAAGAGAGAAAGGCAAGGCAAAGGGAAACATTTGTTGAAGTAGATTCATATCTGTTATGTTTATTCCTCACAACAACCTTAAGACATAGGCATTATTGCCCCCATTTTATAAATGAAGAAATAGAGGCTCTGAGATGTTAAGTAACTTGGCCATGGCCACACGGTTCTTAAATGGCTGAAACAAAATCTGATTCTGGGGCTTACTGGCTCCGAGTCTGTTTTCCCCACAATACTACATTTACCGTAACCTCTGTGGTTTTGTCTGTTTGCTTTAACAGCTAAACTATAAACTGAATATGAAGTATCAGTTCCAGTTGTAAAGACCAGGAATCCTGGTGTCTATCCAGTGGGCAAGGCAGGCAGAAGAAACAAATTCCCCACTCTGGGAATACGGGAGCTTCTTAAAGGATATTAGTCAAAGGCTTGGGGTAAAAAAAAAAGTGAGTGGGAGAAGGGGAGTTTCTAGCCAATTTTTCAGTAAAATTCATTTGAGTACATAAGAAATTTGAAAGGCAAGAATGTGTGTGGGCTGATGTGAGGATGAAATGAGGTAGTGTGATGAAAACACTTGTAACTTGGAAAGCACTGAGCAGACACAGGGCTTGTTTTTAAGGTATTTAGCGGAAAGAGGGGGTTAAGCCCAGATGCTTGCATGGGCTTCCGTTCTTTATTTGTTTTTCAACCATATTGTTGTTGTTGTTGCCTGCCATTTAATCCGCGACTCATGGTGACCTCATGCACAACGGAACAAAATCCTGCCCAGTCCTGCGCCATGCCCACGATTTGGTGGGTTTGGTCTGCGCTGGGCTGTTTAACGATAGTTCTGCAACCGCCAGGTGGGAAGCCCTGCTCATACCGTCAGGACGCGTTCGTTCACTG